AGATAAACCGGGGTCAGTGAGTATAGGGTACATATTTCAAGGATTTGAAGGTGAGAATTCATTTATGACGAGCTCTACAACCTCAAGATTTAAAATAGACTTCACTCTTAGCAAACTAATACTCTCTCTGTCTGGTTTTATTATGCTTCTTCTTATTTTGAGCTAACATTTGATCGTGTGGATGTAACTAATAAAATATAACTGTATGTCATCAAAATTATATCACTGGAAACCTCTTCCGAATACAAATCTGATGATATACTTTCTGTAATATATATTTTACATTTTTCTTAGTCAAATAGATAATCAAATTTTATCTAAAATAGGGATAAGTATATTTTCAGTCCCTCAATTCTCTTGAAAGTGTAGAAATGGTCCTTCAACTTAAAAACCAGCAAACATTGGTCCCCCAACTTGTTAAACCGGATATCTTTAGTCCTTCATACCGCTTTGTTGATGACGTGGCATGGTTTTGCCTGATTTGACTGGTTTGGTTCATGATGTGGAGGCGGCCGTCGCCTGGCCCTGAAAGCCATGCTCGCCAGCACCGGTCTGTTGCTCCCCTGGCCGTGCTCCCTTTGAGCACGCCAAGCAGCCACACCCGGCTGGCCATAGACGTTGACCCGTTGTGCCTCAGTTATCATCCCAAGTCTGCCCCATCCGTGCTAGTTGGAGCTGCACTCGGCCGTCCAATGGTCACCCTGTCTGCTATGCTAACACTTGCGGTGCTAGCTGCACGCTGATACTTCTTGCTGCGTGGGTCGCTAGCCCAAACACCGTCAGCTGCGAGGCTGCTCGCCATGTGAGCCATCGCGTCCGCGCAGCCGTACCTAGCACTCCTCAAGCCCCACTGCAAGACTTCGCGGTGGGCCACCGCGTTGTGCCTGATGGCAGGAGGAAGGCCGCAACCTCAAGTAGTACGACGGGCGCTCCCCCCGGCCCAGCAACCGGTCAGCTCCTCCCACCTATCCATGCATGTCTCTCTAACCTCCTCGCTCCCAGCTCTGTTCCGCCTAGACAAGGAGAACGAACGGACTAAGCGTCACGCTGGAATGTCGCGGTAGATCGCCGCCAGCGTCACCGCCTCATGCAGGTGCCGGAGGCCCCTGGTGGCGCCATGCACGATCTTGACGAGAAGCCGCTCTTGGCCCCGGGAGGCTGGGAGCAATAGCAAACGAGGGAGACAAGGTTGGGGTGCCGGCCACGACGTCCAGGTTCGTCCGGTGGTGCCGGTGGTGTGCTCCTTGCCGGTGTGGCGTAGCCGGACATGATGAGGTAGTGCCGGTGGCAGAAGTGCAAAGACGCACGCGAGCTGCTCGATCAAATGCCCATGAAAGAGAGAGATATGTGAGGAAAAAGATATAACAAAAGCAGGAGAGAGGAATTTGCCACATCAGCAAAGACTGGTCAAAACCGGGCTGAGTCAGCAACATACCGGGTCAACTGAGGCGAGGGACTAAACTTGTCCGGTTTAAAGAGTTGGGGGACTAAGTTTTGCCGGTTTTTGAGTTGAAGGATCAAATCTAGACTTTCGAAAGAATAGAGGGACAAAAAATATACTTTTCCCTCTAAAATATGAGGGGCGCCTAAAAGCATCTACAGCCACACATGGCAAATCCGGTAATGCGCCCGGGCGCGTCCAGAGATAGTGACCGGGCGCACCTCAAATTTCACTTGTTGCATCCAGACATCTCATAGTCGATTCTTATATTCATACAAAGACATGCAAAAGGAAATAGAACCTACGTATTATGTCAATCCTAACTACTCCTCATTGGAGATCATGACGATCTCCGTGTCCGGCTCCGGTAGCATGGGCGGCCGCTGCAGCTCCGGCTCCTCCGGTGCCTTCGCCCCGGCCTCCTCCGTCTCTATCTCCGTGTCGAGCTCGGCGAAGAGTGCGTCGGACTCCGCCTGCTCCTGCCCGAGGAACGCCCGGTTGGTCTCCACATAGGCCCCATTCTGGATGGACTCCAGGATGGCCTGCTTCTCGGTCATCTCATCGGACTGGGCGACGGCGAACTCCGCCTCCGCCTGCTCCATGTTGAAGGCCGGCACCTCCTGGTCCGGCTCCTCCGTCTTCATCGGAGAGGGAGGAGGTGGATGGGCTCGGACTGGCGGCACGGAGAGGGAAGAGGGGGATGGGTTGTGGGATGTCAGACGACTTAAATAGCCGGATTTCATCTTCGGCGGCGAGCCGGAACGGCACCACGTGGCGACGGACTCGGCGTCCGTCGGACCACTGGGTTTTTGGGCGTTTTCGTGTGGGGCCACAACGTGGCGGGCGCATCCGGGCGCCCCCATATCTGCCCTATTTTTGGGCTGGATATGAGGTGCCGATCAGTTCGAGTGTTTTGAGGGGTCCATCTGGATCAAAAAATCAGCCGAGCGGCCTATCAGAATGTATGAAACAGGTTTGAGAGGTCCAGTTATAGATGCTCTAGTAAATTTGGACAGAGATAGAGATAGTAGTTGTTAGTAATTATGAGTCACGAGCTTCGTGTAGCCCGCTGCGTGTAGGCTAGTAGCGCTGCAAATGGAAGGCAGCCTTGGGTGCCTGCTAAAGTGCTAATTGCCGCAAGAGGCGGCGTCTGTTGTTGGACATCAGGCAGTCGGAGCGACAGGGTGCTGCAGTGGCTGGAGTTGAGTGGCTTGGGATGGATATGCATGTAGGTACTGGTGGTGGTTCACTCTTGGGCATAGAAGCGAATTTTGCTTCCGTATCTTCCAATTTAAGACGACGGGGCAACAAGGCGGAGAAGTACAAGAGATTACTCGTCCCACTCGTAGAGATTTTTGGCATTTAAAATGTACTGATCCATCGGCCGGGACTGTGACAAGAATGGGACGTCCTATACGCCGCTCTCTGCGGCAAAGTGGCGTCGTTTCGCATAGGCGGTCTCCCACCGGGCCGGCCCATGACAGCCAGCAAACTTGTACTGTAGTGCAAAAAAATTCCACCTAGCTGGGAATCGAACTTGTACCCCATGCTGCAGACCAAGCGCTGCAACAAACTGACCTAGCGAGCATTACTGACTAGTTAGCGGTGTACGCTTTTAAGAATCAACACCTCAGAACAGATCCAAATTATTTTCAGCATTTTGAATGATTTTATTAAAAAACTGAGTGTTTTGTGAAAGCAAACACTTTTCAAATTGGCGAATTGCTTAAAAAAACTTTATTTTCTAGAAAATCAGGAAATTGAACTTGCGACCAATTTTGACAAAACACGATGAAATTTTCAAAAATTCTGTATATATATATTTCAATTTCCAACAAAATATGACACATGTGAATTTTTTCTAAAATACTGAACATTTTTTGAAAAATGCGAATATTTTTCTAATTTAGCGAACACAATTTTTAAATCAAGAACAAAATTTGAACAAGGGAAAAATATTTGGAAAACCAACATTTTTTGAATTTAGAGTATTTCTTAAATCAAGAACAAAATTTGAACAATGGAACAAAAAATATTTGAAATCCCGAACATTTTTTTAAACCTTGAACATTTTCTAATTTAGAGAAAAAATAAAAATTAAATCAAGAAGAAAATTGAACATTGGAACAAAAAATTGAATATCCCGAACATTTTTTGAATTTACAGAACAAAAATTTCAAATCAAGAAAAATTTGAAAATCCTAAACAAAATTTGAAAATGCGAACAGATTTTTAATATATAAAAACTGAAAATATGGAATCATTTTTGAAAATTTGGAAATTCTAAACATTTTAGAGTTTTAGAACTTTTTTAAAATGTAGTAAAAAATCTTTGAACTTCTGAACATTTATTGAAATTTGTGAACAAAATTTGAAAAACAGAAATATTTTTTTGTATTTCTAAAGATTTGTTGAAAAATAAAAAGGAAAAAGAAACAAATAAAATAAAAAAGGAAAAAAGGAAATAAAAATGAAAAGAGTATAGAGAGAAACTGGAAAATAAAGAAAAAGAAACAGAAAAGGACATAAAACCGGTTCGGGAACCTTCCTTACCTTCTAGTAGGTTCCTAAAATGAGAAAACCGACTGGAACTTCCTAGAACCTTCCCAAAACCGCCCAGCACTGTAGCACGTGTACTTTGCTGATAATTGGGCCGCCCCATGTCGATCGCTGGTCGCTCCCCCTCAGTGCGAAGTGACGACAATCCGCCGTAGAATGCGGCAGATAGGATTTTCCACCAAGAATGAATGGCGGACGATAGAGCACATTTTGTTTCTTCCTAATTTTGGACCTCTATGCTTTAACTTACTCCCTTATTTTCCTTTGTTTTTTTCTCATCCGTATACAGCTAGCGAGCCAAAACATATTAAATGTAGGTAACACGACAAAATTGCAGTTTCCTTCTTCTCCGAATTGCCCTCCACTGAGGCACTCACTACCGTTTTCTGACCTTTACCAAGCACGCGTAATCTATTTTGTTAATTTGGGTTTCCTTACACCCCAGGATTTATCGGAGTAGAGCAGATCAAAGCTACTACTTAACGCTGCATGCTAATTTGGCCCAAGAACATACTAACTCTAACATAAACGATATACCTCGCAAAAAAAACTAACATAACAATATGTATGGTCTCTAGCATCTAGATTTTCCTTGGGTTTTTAGGAGTCTACCGATCGATTGTCCGGAGTGGGAAGCCATCATTTCCGTTTATTGCAGATTAGTAAAGAAAGAAACATGGCGAATTCTTCCAAATTGAGCGAGACTTAAATGGGAGCCATAATACAAGCAAATCACTCCTAAAAAGGATAGGAATTATTTGGGGTCAATCACTCACACTCAACGCCAATCAAAACCCAGTAATCAGGCATTAATGCTCTGCTTGCTGTCATCCAAGCGCCCTGCCATCCAGCGGATCTGGCTCCAGGGATGCGTCACCTTGGCTCCATTTATAGCCATGTCATGGTCGATGCAAAAAGTCTGCACCAAATTATCCTCGACACCGGCCACCACCAACCCGCCGCGGACCAAGGGTTCGCCGCGGGTGCCTCCGCCGTTGCAATGCCTATGAGTGGGCCTCTACCGCCGCCGCCGTTAGGTCTTAGGCTCTGCGGTGGTCAGGAAATGGCCACCAACAAGCGGACGCGCCACCAACAATCGTCGATGCTTGGTGCAGCCCAAGCTCAACAACAACCGATCGTTGTCGATCACAACCTGCGCGATCATGTAAGTCCACCGATCAAATCGTCACCATGCATGTATCTATCCATAATTTGAGTTTGAGGTTTATCTAGATTTTTGTTAATGGCGATCGATGATGCAGGCGGAAAAGGTTTGTACTACTTCAAGGGAGCAGAGGCAGAGGCACATTAGTATGATGATATCCACCATGGTGGCCAGGGCGAGGAAGCAGCTCGAGGCCAAGGAGCAGGAGATCGAGTGGATCAGGAGCGTGAATTGGGCACTCAAGGAGCGCATCAGGAACCTCCACATCGAGGCTCAGGCGTGGCGCAACGTTGCGCAGTCCAACGAGACCGTGGCCAATGTTCTCCGCGCCGACCTTCAGCAAGTGCTCGAGCAGCAAGCTGTTCGTGGCAGTGGCAGCAACGATAGTGAGGACGCCGCCGGATCGTGCTGGGGGGAGAAACATGTGGCTTTTTGCAGGGAGGAGCAGGAGGAGGAGGAGGGTGAGACACCAGGAGTGGAGCCCCGAGTGACAGAAGTCGAAATGTGCAAGGGGTGCGGGCAGAGCGCCCCCGTTGTGCTACTGTTGCCGTGCAGACACCTCTGCGTGTGTGCGCCATGCGCAGAAGCGGCACAGGTATGCCCATCGTGCATATGCGTCAAGACTGGTAGTATCAGCATCAACTTCTCATGATGCGAGGAAGAAATTGTTTTAGAAGGTAGCCACCGGTGGGCCCGCCCCACCGCATCAAGCCGTTGCTGACAGAATGCACATGGTGCATTGCGTTGCACTATTAGTGAGACATCGAACGTTCATTCGCCATTATTTGTGTAGTTTAAGATACGACATTTCCTTTCCTTCTAAGACTTTTTAGAGTCGAATGATGTCAACATGAGAGGATGAGTTCCCCTTCTTTTATTCTGTTTAGATTTTTTCTCGAGATGTTGGACAAATTGTTCAACACAAGAAGATTTTTTTTACTATTGCATTGAATACATATATTCAAAATTAAGCAAAATATATGGGTCGGGCCGAGGGTTTGCGGCGAGTTAGGTCATCACCACTTTGGAGCGGTGGAAGATGGTGTCTATAGTGTATACGATTATGTGTAAACATTGTAGACGAGAAAAATTACATGTATGTTGTGGCAAACCGGGAGAAATGAGGGCAAGAAGCACAAAGGTTGTGTGGTGGCACTTGGAGGCGCATGTGAGGAATCTGTGGGGGTGGCTAGTGTTAGGATTAATGATCTAGATAGCAAGGAACCAGATTCAGATCCAATAGTAGAAAAGATTGATTGAGTTAGATAAAAAAATACATGGCTAGCAAAGGTGGGTTGCATAAATTCCTACAATCGACTACATAAAATGATTATTTTTACTCACACTCATTAGGGGATGAAGAAGACATTCGCCTCCTAGAGGTGCATAGCCGGTGTGTATCTCATTGTGCATGTCATTATTTTCGCAGTTTTAGAGTCGGCATTTTGTTTCCTTATGATACTTATAAAAGCCGACGTTTGTTATCATTGATTTATTCTCAATTTTTTTATTTATGATGGCGATGCTAGCGTGATGGTCGAATGTTGTCAACATGAGAGGATGACTTCCCCTCTTTTATTCTGTTTTTCTTTTTTCTCAAGTAGATCAATTCCTCAACACAAAGAAAAACAGTATGCACCATTGCATGAATACAATAGAAGTTAAGCATCATATGTGGGAAGAGGGTATGCAACAATTTAGGTGATCACCACATCGAAGAGGTGGGAGATGGTGGAGATTGTACCCTGGATATTACCAGCAGAATCAAGCCCACACATGTCATAATTATCCATCTACGAAATCCAATAGCTCGTATGGATCACTACCAATGAGGATATGGAATCAACAGAGCCTTGCTGTAAATCTCTCGAAAGTCTGTTAATCCATGTTTCCCAAGCATACAGTTGATTCAGATCTTAGTGTCACGCCACACCGAATCCTATCAAAGGGCCACATCAAGTGTAACTTACAGAGATAGAACCAATGTACCTTTATAGCAAACTGGAGCAAGGACGAAACCATACATGTCTAGGAAGTAGGAGCCATGTGGAGCATGTTTACCACAAGAAGTAGGTTGTTGAGATATCCTGAATAACAGGCTTCACAAGACCTTAAGGTAGGAAATAATATAATAGAAGCAAGAGGATTGTATAGTATCTATTCTTATGAGATTTAGATAAAGTGGAAACTTTTTGAATCAAAGAGAAGATAAGCTAAGAACCCTAGATATAATTACAAGGAAATGAAAGAAGCATCGAATCATAAATTTACACCACCTACACCCTAATCTTCTTAATAATGCTAGGGTGTTAATTGAGCCATGTGTGATAAAGGATCACACATGGATACACCATATATCACACATATCAAAAGTAAATTCTAATACTAATCTTGATAGAACTAATATTAGCTGAATAATTATTATCACTACAATTAAAAGCATAGAAGTAATGTCAATGAACTTAGCCCATTAGTGGAACTAGGATTCAGATCCATATTCATTTGTTTACGCCAAGAGCAAGATAGACCAAGACAAAATAAATAGACATATTAACCACAAGAGAGCTGCCAGATGAGGCTATAGTAGCAACACAACATGTCATGGAGCACAATTAACTATCTACCCTTAGTAAAGTAATAGGTTATGTTACGGAACCATTTCCATATTAAGCCCAACCCAATTATGGTCATTTAAAAAATGTTCACGCCTTTCAGAAATATGGACATGACCTTTTTTGAGAAATGTTATACAATGTTTATGTAATTAAAAATATGTTTCGTACCATTCAATAAATGTATGTTACATTTAGAAAAATATTTAGGCATATCAAAGAAAATGTTTGTGGCATTTCTAAAAAAATGTTTATCCAGTGTACAAAAATGTTCGCTTAGTTCAAAACAAATATTTTGTATCATGCAAAAATGTTTAACACCTTTTAGAGAACATGTTCAAAACAGTATTTAAGAAAATATGAAGCCATGTTTTGTAAAAGTTAAACATATATAGGAAATGTTTTAGATGTATCTAAAAATATTACGATGTGTAAGAGAAAGTAGATATGTAAACATATATTTTGCAAAACTGTTAATTAGGTATTTGATAATTTTCAAATGAGTACAACTAAAATGTTCCTGCTATATATGAAAATTGTCCAACGCTTATGAAAAATTTAGACATGTGTTGAAAAAAAAGAAAACGAAGACAACCACGGGACACCAAAGAAAGTAACAAAGAACCCAGTGATAACTGAAGGAAACAAAGAATAAAAAGAAGAAGGAGAACAAAAACACATTAAATGTAGGTAACACGACAAAATTGCAGTTTCCTTCTTCTCCGAATTGCCCTCCATTGAGGCACTCACTACCGTTTTCTGACCTTTACCAAGCACGTGTTATCTATTTTGTTAATTTGGGTTTCCTTACACCCTAGGATTTACCGGAGTAGAGCAGATCAAAGCTACTGCTTAACGCTGCATGCTAATTTGGCCCAAGAAGATACTAACTCTAACATAAACGATATGCCCCGCAAAAAAACTAACATAACAATATGTATGGTCTCTAGCGTCTAGATTTTCCTTGGGTTTTTACGAGTCTACCGATCGATTGTCCCGAGTGGGAAGCCAGCATTTTCGTTTGTTGCAGATTAGTAAAGAAAGAAACATGGCGAATTCTTCCAAATTGAGCGAGACTTAAATGGGAGCCATAATACAAGCAAATCACTCCTAAAAAGGATAGGAATTATTTGGGGTCAATCACTCACACTCAACGCCAACCAAAACCCAGTAATCATGCATTAATGCTCTGCTTGCTGTCATCCAAGCGCCCTGCCATCCAGCGGATCTGGCTCCAGGGACGCATCACCTTGGCTCCATTTATAGCTGTGTCATGGTGGATGCAAAAAGTCTGCACCAGATTATCCTCGACACTGGCCACCACCAACCCGCCGCGGATCAAGGGTTCACCGCGGGTGCCTCCGCCGCTGCAATGCCTATGAGTGGGCCTCTACCGCCGCCGCCGTTAGGTCTTAGGCTCGACGGTGGTCAGGAAATGGCCACCAACAAGCGGACGCACCACCAACAATCGTCGATGCTTGGTGCAGCCCAAGCGCAACAATAACCGATCGTTGTCGATCACAACCTGCGCAATCATGTAAGTCCACCAATCAAATCGTCACCATGCATGTATCTATTCATAATTTGAGTTTGAGGTTTATCTAGATTTTTGTTAATGGCGGTCGATGATGCAAGCGGAAAAGGTGTGTACTACTTCAAGGGAGCAGAGGCAGAGGCACATCAGTATGATGATATCCACCGTGGTGGCCAGGGCGAGGAAGCAGCTCGAGGCCAAGGACCAGGAGATCGAGTGGATCAGGAGCATGAATTGGGCACTCAAGGAGCGCATCAGGAACCTCCACATCGAGGCTCAGGCGTGGTGCAACGTTGCGCAGTCCAACGAGACCGTGGCCAATGTTCTCCGCGCCGACCTTCAGCAAGTGCTCGAGCAGCAAGCGTTTCGTGGCAGTGGCAGCAACGACAGTGAGGACGCCGCCGGATCGTGCTGGGGGGAGAAACATGTGGCTTTTTGCAGGGAGGAGCAGGAGGAGGAGGAGGGTGAGACGCCAGGAGTGGAGCCCTGAGTGACAAAAGTCGAAATGTGCAAGGGGTGCGGGCAGAGCGCCCCCGTTGTGCTACTGTTGCCGTGCAGACACCTCTGTGTGTGTGCGCCATGCGCAGAAGCGGCACAGGTATGCCCATCGTGCATATGCGTCAAGACTGGTAGTATCAGCGTCAACTTCCCGTGATGCGAGGAAGAAATTGTTTTGGAAGGTAGCCACCGGTGGGCCCGCCCCACCGCATCAAGCCGTTGCTGACAGAACGCACATGGTGCATTGCGTTGCACTATTAGTGAGACATCGAACGTTCATTCGCCATTATTTTTGTAGTTTAAGAGTCGACATTTCCTTTCCTTCTAAGACTTTTAGAGTCAAATGATGTCAACATGAGAGGATGAGTTCCCCTTCTTTTATTCTGTTTAGATTTTTTCTCGAGATGTTGGACAAATTGTTCAACACAAGAAGAATTTTTTTTGTACTATTGCATTGAATACATATATTCAAAATTAAGCAAAATATATGGGTCGGGCCGAGGGTTTGCGGTGAGTTAGGTCATCACCACTTTGGAGCGGTGGAAGATGGTGTCTATAGTGTATACGATTATGTGTAAACATTGTAGACGAGAAAAATGACATGTATGTTGTGGCAAACCGGGAGAAATAAGGGCAAGAAGGACAAAGGTTGTGTGGTGGCACTTGGAGGCGCATGTGAGGAATCTGTGGGGGTGGCTAGTGTTAGGATTAATGATCTAGATAGCAAGGAACTAGATTCAGATCCAATAGTAGAAAAGATTGATTGAGTTAGATAAAAAAATACATGGCTAGCAAAGGTGGGTTGCATAAATTCCTACAACCGACTACATAAAATGATTATTTTTACTCACACTCATTAGGGGATGAAGAAGACATTCACCTCCTAGAGGTGCATAGACGGTGTGTATCTCATTGTGCATGTCATTATTTTCGCAGTTTTAGAGTCGGCATTTTGTTTCCTTATGATACTTATAAAAGCCGACGTTTGTTATCATTGATTTATTCTCAATTTTTTTATTTATGATGGCGATGCTAGCGTAATGGTCGAATGATGTCAACATGAGAGGATGACTTCCCCTTTTTTTATTCTGTTTTTCTTTTTTCTCAAGTAGATCAATTCCTCAACACAAAGAAAAACAGTATGCACCATTGCATGAATACAATAGAAGTTAGGCATCATATGTGGGAAGAGGGTATGCAACAATTTAGGTGATCACCACATCGAAGAGGTGGGAGATGGTGGAGATTGTACCCTGGATATTACCAGCAGAATCAAGCCCGCACATGTCATAATTATCCATCTACGACATCCAATAGCTCGTATGGATCACTACCAATGAGGATATGGAATCAACGGAGCCTTGCTGTAAATCTCTTCAAAGTCCGTTAATCCATGTTACCCAAGCATACAGTTGATTCAGATCTTAGTGTCATGCCACACCGAATCCTATCAAAGGGCCACATCAAGCGTAACTTATAGAGATAGAACCAATGTACCTTTGTAGCAAACAGGAGCAAGGACGACACCATACATGTCTAGGAAGTAGGAGCCTTGTGGAGCATGTTTACCACAAGAAGTAGGTTGTTGAGATATCCTGAATAACAGGCTTCACAAGACCTTAAGGTAGGAAATAATATAACAGAAGCCAGAGGATTGTATAGTATCTATTCTTATGAGATTTAGATAAAGTGGAAACTTTTTCAATCAAAGAGAAGATAAGCTAAGAACCCTAGATATAATTACAGGGAAATGAAAGAAGCATCGAATCATAAATTTACACCACCTACACCCTGATCTTCTTAATAATGATAGGGTATTAATTGCGCCATGTGTGATAAAGGATCACACATGGATACACCATATGGAAATTATCACCATATATCACACATATCGAAAGTAAATTCTAATACTAATCTTGATAGAACTAATATTAGCTGAATAATTATTATCACTACAATTAAAAGCATAGAAGCAATGTCAATGAACTTAGCCCATTAGTGGAACTAGAATTCAGATCCATATTCATTTGTTTACGCCAAGAGCAAGATAGACCAAGACCGAATAAATAGACATGTTAACTATCTATTTAATTGTAGCCAGATGAGGCTATGGTAGCCCATTAGTGGATTAATATGGAAATGTTAACAAGAGAGCTGCCAGATGAGGCTATGGTAGCAACACAACATGTCATGGAGCACAATTAACTATCTACCCTTAGTAAAGTAATAGGTTATGTTACGAAACCATTTCCATATTAATCCCAACCCAATTATGGTCATTTAAAAAATGTTCACGCCTTTTAGAAATATGGACGTGACCTTTTTTTTGAGAAATGTTATACAATGTTTATGTAATTAAAAAATATGTTTCATACCATTCAATAAATGTATGTTACGTTTAGAAAAATATTTACGCATATCGAAGAAAATGTTTGTGGCATTTCTAAAAAAATGTTTATCCAGTGTACAAAAATGTTCGCATTGTTCAAAACAAATATTTTGTATCATGCAAAAAATGTTTAACACCTTTTAGAGAACATGTTCAAAACAGTATTTAAGAAAATGTGAAGCCATGTTTTGTAAAAGTTAAACATATATAGGAAATGTTTTAGATGTATCTGAAAATATTACGATGTGTAAGAGAAAGTAGATATGTAAACATATATTTTGCAAAACTGTTAATTAGGTATTTGATAATTTTCAAATGAGTACAACGAAAATGTTCCTGCTATATATGAAAAATGTCCAACGCTTATGAAAAATTTAGACATGTGCTGGAAAAAAAGAAAACGAAGAAAACCACTGGAAACCAAAGGAAGTAACAAAGAACCTAGTGATAACCGAAGAAAGAAACAAAGAATAAAAAGAAGAAGGGGAAAAAAACCCAAAATAAAAAAACCAGTGAAAACCAAAGAGACGGTGGAAAACTGTAGTACAAACAGTGGAAAAACCAGCAAAGAAAAACTACAGGAAAAAAACTTATGCTTGCTAAAGTGTTGGGCAGGCCCGATAGTCGCCCACCCTACGCGAGTTCCTAATAGGTTTCAGTACGAGCGACAGATAGCCCTGGTGCAAGTAATGGGCCAGGGCACCAACCATGACCTTACAGTGCTCCAAATTAGGGGAGCAACTAGTTAACGAGCGCTTCTTTGGGAGCCTCGCAACGATCAGTGCCTCTTGGCGCGTTCTCAGCTATTTGCCACGTGTCGCGTTCCGGGCACTCCCTTCGGATTTTTATTTTTATTTTTTCGCACGCGTTTTTGGCTTTTTAAATGGTTTTTTTCGGATTTTTTTGACGTTTTGGTTTTTCACCGGTCTTCCTTAGCTTTTCAATAAAAAAAACTCAAAAAAAAACTTTTGCGCGAAAAAACACGTTTTTTTCCTTTCATGAGAGTCACGGTTTTGCTTCCGCGAGAGGCACATTTTTGCTTTCGCGAGAGTCACGGCCGTGCCTCTTGAAAACAAAAAAACACGTTTTTTATTTTTTTTCTTTCACGAGAGTCATGGTTTACTTCCGCGAGAGGCACGGATGTGCTTTCGCGAGAGTCATGGCCGTGCCTCTCGGAAACAGAAAAAAAACGTGTTTTCTATTTTTTTTGTTCGCGAGAGTCACGTTTTTGCTTCCGTGAGAAGCATGATTGTGCTTTCGCAAGAGTCATGGCCGTGCCTCTCGGAAAGAGAAAAAACGCGTTTTCTGTTTTTTTCCTTTCGCGAGAGTCATGGTTTTGCTTTCGCGAGTCACGGTTGTGCTTTTACGAGAGTCACGGCCGTGCCTCCTCGAAAACGAAAAAAACATATTTTCTCTTCTTTTTTTCGTGAGAGTTACGGTTTTGCTTCCGCGAGAGGCACGATTGTGATTTTATGAGAGGCACGGGCGTGCCTCTTTCGGAAAGGGAAAAAACCCGTGCTCCCAGTTCAGTTATTTCGTCCTGTTTTTTTCGTGAAAAAAAAGTTCGTCAAAACCTATCAACATGGTATCTAGTTTTGAAGATCTCGATGCGAGGAATCCAACGATGAAAGCGGTTCGAGATTTGGACGCACGGTTTGAGAGATAAAATGGTTTGAATAAACGAATCTATGAAAAAAGAGAAAACTCTTAGGTTGCGACAAGTGGCACGCTGCATGTGCGCCATTTGTCGCAACCATGGGAATTGAAATGATCTTTGCAACGAGTACTCCTTAATTAGTGATTTCTCCAAATTGACCCTTCACGCGCTGACTTGGAGCGACAGTGCTCATATCGTCTCAATTAGGCCGGCCCAAATTCTCTACAGCTCACTCGTTGCACACCTCGCTCGCTCGGCCGCTTGAGCTACTGATTCAAGAAAAACCATTACTCCTTTTTTAGGAGAAAACACAACTCGCCCGTTTTTTATGAATTAAAAGAATGGTAATTGTTTTTAGAAAAATTCATGAATTTAAAAAAAGTTCACAAATTCAGAAGTATCTGAATTTGAAAAAAGTTCATGAATGAAAAAATATCCATAAACTTGGACACAAGTGAGCTAATTTGGAAATGTTCATAAATTCAAAGAAGTTCGCGACTTTGAAATGACCTTTATTTAGTCCAAATGTTCACCAATTTGAAAAAACGTCAAAAATTGGAAAAAGTTCAGAAATTTCAGAAGTTAATAAATTTAGAAAGGTTAACCAATTTTGGAAAAATATGAATAAATAAAGTTCATGGATTTGAAAACTTTCCAAATTTAAAGAAAATTGCGAATTGGAAAAATGTTTGCAATATCAAAAATTGTTCGCAGCTTTTGAGACAGTGCATGCAAATTTACAAATGAAAAAAGAAAAAGGAATAAAAAACTAAAAACAAGAAAATTGGTCAGATGCTTCTAGAAGCTTCATAAAACCAATGAGAAGCTTCACCAAAACCGATCAGAATTTGTTTTAGGCAAGCCGACCAGAAGCTGCACAAACCACGAATGAGCGTCCAAGCATATATGGGCTGACCCGGTTAGTTTAGCTTTCAGGGGGTGCGCGCCGCCGGTAACAAGTGCTACATGTGCTGAATAAGAAATCATGAACCTTATTGTAGACGGGTTCGCATTTCTTGTTTAGTACTTCCAATACATGTTTGGTTGTAATGTCACATGTAAGAGCCATTGGCCAGCAAGGACGTGATGCGGCTTGAACTACGTTGGTATT